AGTCTAGTCCTACTGCCCCACTTTTTTTGGAACTCTATCTTTGCTTTAGATTTTGCTTCATTTCTGTCTTGAAAGAAAACTGAGGTTTCTGAGAGTTAAAACTTTAGATTAAGTTGGAAAGTAAGTAATGAAAGGTATAACACATGGAGATGCAATTTGATGGATATTGGAAGAATAAGGATATACCTTTTGGCTTTGTATTTTTCTCCCTTACCTGATCCCTCCAGAATTTGCTTTTATTAATGACTGAATGATGGCATAAAGTTTCTTTGCATAAAACCAGTAAGACCAGCTGACAATGGTGGTTTTCTTAACCAAGACTTTCACTGGAAAGACATCCCTGATGGAGGCATGCCTGGACTCTGGCTCTTACCAGAAAGTCTTGAGGAACTGAGAAGAACTTTCAAAGCTAACAAAAGCCCACTGGAGAAATGGCTGGTACCTTGTTTGGTCATGTGGTTCACGACAGTCTTTCTAGGGAAGGAGCAAAGGTTACTTTCCTGAAAGAGGACAAGGAGGAACCTTAAGGCACATTGGGAACCTCAAGGACTTGAGGAATATAGGTGCTACAAGCAAAGCCTTATGTCAGGTGTGTGGATTGGCTTTTGTGCCCTGAAGGGCCGACTAAAGCTCAATCTAAAAGTTCCTTGTAAAAGTTACAGCAAAGCAGATTTAAAAACCCTATGTGAGCAATTGCTGTTCTTATTGTGTTTATGCAAATAAACAGGCAAAAATTAAAACTGGCAGTCTTTGACAACAATGAGGGTGATCTCAAGGAGAAAAATTGTGTTTCAAGGATAATCACAATGCTTGGATGTGGACATTGGACTCTGGTAGAGCTAACTGTCTTCAAAGTTTTGTTTTCTTTTGAAAGATGAACTGGGTTTGTGATATCACCAGAGATGTACAATATACAAGCAGGAAGGATGTATCAGATTGTCACCGTTTAATGTCATTCCAGCAAAGGCCTTGCAAGTGATGTCTTCTCAAAAGACAGTCTCATGGACTCAGAGACTAGTCTGTGATTAGTTATGTGAATTAACCTGGGTGTTCTTCCTTCTATTTTCATAGGGTATATGCCTGTGACTTCATCTACCTGGGTGTTTGGTTACATAGCATAGGCTACACTTCAGAAGTCCATCTACATCACCACTTCCTGAGACTCAACAGTTTGACTGCACTAGTGGTTGAGTTAGTGAGTATGGGGTAGCCTATCAACCTCGATTTAAAACTGCTTTCCTTTTCTGCCCTAATGGTTTAGATAGAAAAGAGCCAAAAGTGTTATATGGGGAATCATAGAATATTACATATATCCAATTTAGGTATAGAGGGCAAAAGGGCTGCAGATGGTGTGACACACCTTTCACATTATCCTGCAAGGAAGCCACTCTTTCTTAATCTGCAACATTGTAGAGTTAGTTCCTACCTTTGTCATTTAGTTGTTACGGTTCTGATTGCAGCTTCTAATAACCCTCTTGGCAAAGCTGTCACCAAAAGTACCAGAGGGATGCCAACTTGTCCAGCTGTGCCATTTATTTGGACATGACACATGCTGCCTTCCAGGGACAGTCAACTGCCCTGGATTCTGCAAGATCCTTCCCATGCAGGAAGGCCACCCTCCACTCCAGATCCCTATTCTGTTAGGGATCTCTGGAACAGGGGATAGGTAGGACAATTCCCAAGGTCAGCAGGAAGTAGTTACAGAAAACAAGACCTTTGCCCATTGTCTTTGAAAGATTACAAAGTCCAAAGTGTTAAAGGGAGAAACTGTAACACAGGGATTTGACCAGATTGCTGCAGACCAGGAGACACCCCAAGCCAGGGGAGAAACCTTAGGCATGCATGAGAGCCTGCACTTCCTGGGAGATGGAGGGATAGCCACAGAGGAGGTTGCCTGAAGCAACAGTAAACAAAACCAAAGTGGCTCTAGCATGAAGCCCCACTGTGGGCTGAGATGTTTATGCCCTTGTGTATGTCTGGGAAACTCCTAGCCTCTTCCAGATCTTGGTAACCAGAAGAGGGACAAAGGTATAGTGCGAACTGACACTCATAGTAGATGTTGGCCTGGAATTGTCTGGGATTTGGAGAATCCCACAGTGTGTGGGATTTGGAAGGAAAAATTTAAAATGGTGGGCACACATAAGCCCACTCTCTCTCTTCCTCATGCCTTGCTCCAAGTCAGGGTGGCATACAGAGCATTCACAGGACCTCACAGAACACTGGGACCAGCTTGCAGCTCTTGCCTTGCCTTGCTTGCATGGTCTGAAGCAGGTCTGCATGCAGGATATGAACCTCACCAGCCATGGGTCAGCAGCACACTGCAACCTTATGCTGCACAGCTCATGGGACCTGGACTGCTTCCACTCTTTTGTCCTGAGAGCAGCAAACTGATGAGTAAATCAGGAAAATCCCTCGGTCCCAGAGGCACAAGCAGCCTTGAATGCTGGGGTCCAGAGGACTAAGGCTCTAGGATGACCAGCTGCAGTGACCTGGCAGTGCAACCTGGCTCTGGGAGGGAGAAAGAAAAATTGCACGAGGTGATGGTGACATTGAAACCCACAAGTACATGCACTGAAGAGAGAGCCTGAGAATGGAGACCTGATCACGTTGCCACCTCAAGCTCCAAAAAGGACAGAAGCATGTGGGGGACCTCTGGAGATGGGTTTAGATTTTAGTCTTTTTGGGTATAAGGGTATAAATTTCTATATTTTGCAGAAGAGAGTGACTTGGAGCAGGGGAGACCTCAGCTCTCCCAAGCCTTGAATCCTGTTAATAAAAACCTTTTTCCCTCCCCACCAATCTCTGTTTTATGGTTGTGTATGGCAGCAGGTGGCCAAATCCCAAATTAACCTGTCACATGCATAGATAATAAGTATGCCTTAAAAAGGTGACAGTACAATCGGAGAAATAAAAAAATGGTTGATTATAATTAAATTTAAAGAGTTTGCTTAACATGGAATATCTCTAAGACTTTATGGAACATCAGAGATGACAGCCGTGCTGACCTTTGAATTTTTAAGGAGTTAAACAAGACACTAGGCAAATGTGGCTGGCTGTGAGAAAAACGATTTTAGGCAGAGTGAATACAACTAGATCAAAGGCATGGAGTGAAAATAGCAGAAAAAAGTTAAGAAATTACAAATAGTTTTATATGACAGAAGCATCCAGTTCATGACCATGGGAGGAGACAGGCAATGGAATGGGAAAGATTGGTTAATAGAAGGTATTAATATTTATGGAGATAAAAGGTAGGAAAGTTAAGGGAAGGAGTGTATGTGTCCAAATCATGAAGACATCAGAGAGCCAATGAAGAATTCTAGGAAGGAGGATTAGAAGATCAGCTTTGAGTTTCTAGATTATTTTAGTGTAAAGAACTGTGAGGCACAGACTAGAATGAAAGCAAATCTGAAGGAAAACAGATTGGTTCACCCTGCATGCATTAGTTCCAGGAAGAAACAAAGAATTTCTGAAGTGAACCAGAAGGGTCAGGATGGGAATGCATTCAAGCAGCTGAGATGGGTTGGAAGCCAGGCAAGAGATGTTATGAGTTAAAATAGCCAAGCACTACAGTCAGAGTACCATCTTTACGGCCAATTACATAGGAGGCAAGATCATACAGAGTCTTACATACCACATTAAGGAACCTTGGCTTTATTTAATAGATTATGAAAATCATACAAGGGTTTTAAAATCTGTATTTTTGATAGATGATTCTGACAACCAGGATGCAAATTGGTTTAAATTAGAAAAATTTGAGTGCTGACAGAAGATGAGGGACTCAACTAGGGCACGAGTGATAAGAAAATCACCATGCCATAGGGAATGACTGGGTAGAGAGGGAGAAGAAGTCAGCTTTGGCCTACATGACAAAGGAGATAGTGACACCACCAAATGAGAATCAGAATAAAAAATAAATACAAGGTTAGATGGAAAAGAAAATGAGTTTGTTATGAACATACTAAGTTTCAGGTCAAAACAGAAACATAGGAAGCATGAAATTTAAAATCAAGAAAAGTACAAATTTAGAATAAATGTGGACAATGGGCCAAATACTGGGATAACCAAGATGTACAGGAAAGGCAGAGGTGAAAGTAAGTGAAAGAACCAGAGGGAGAAACAGAAAGATCAAGAAAACAGTAACAGAATGGTATCATGATTAAGGGGGTAGGGGGGGTAGATGCTGGTGCAGCTAAAAGGCGGGCACCTCAAGGTGTTGTTTCTGGTAAAAGGAGAGACAACAAATGTTCTAGAGATATGATGAATACAGGAAACATGTTTATAATGGAATATAATTTGAAGTACAAAGGAAATGGGTGGAGTCGAGGATGAGCAACAATAACACAGGATAAAGTCAGGAGATGGATCAGAGCTGGGGAGTCTGCCTTTTGTAAAAGATAAAGCGTCCTCACAGGGCTCATTGGGCAATGAATGAAACTGCCTGCCTCTAATACCCAATCATGACACATTTTGCTCTAGCCCAAGAACAGGCAAACAGTACAGCAGTACTTAGCCTGTTGGTGGGACTCAGAAAGTTGGTGGGAGCTTTGTTACAGCAAAGACTCAGTGGAATAAATTAATCCATTCATATAATATATGAGTAATAATTTGTGATCTTTCTGCTGATTACTGCCAACATAATCCCTTCTACCTTTGTGAAAGCACTGAGATCCACCAAGTTTCTAATCTTAATACTTTTCTACTATACTTTGAGGAATTATGTGATAGTGCTTCCAAGAACCACTCACTATAAATCTTGCACACCCATCATTGTCTAAATTCTATCATACAGCCTTACAGTGTGCTCTCTGTGAGTGTACAAATACACACATAATATTTTTTATTGTTCTTCTGATTTTTTTATGGTGAGGAAGAAGAAGGAAGAATGGCAGAAGGCACAATTACTGTGAAAAATCACCATTAAAAGCATGAGGACTGCAAAGTATAAACAAACTTACAAAAGAAATGACAAACAGAGGAATCTTCTACAAGGGCTATCTTACCTTATCATGGACTGTCATGCAGCTAGCAGCATCCTTCTGAAGGATTTCAGTTACCCCATTGGAAAGCCTTTCATACTTAAGTTTGGGTTCCTCTTCACTCTCTTCTTCCTGTACAAAAAGCAGAGAAAATAACAGCTGTCATGGATTTACCTGATATTGTCAAAGATTCAAAACATATTTCTTAAGGGAGACCCAGAAATGGTTCCCTCAGTGATTATAAATAACTACAACTATAGCTAAAGGTTAAGATCTTGATGTTTCACTTTTCCAACTGGGTGTATCAACCTCTACAACTACACTGGTAGAATAAATTCAAAGATTGAAAACAAGGTTATATATACTTACTATTAACACTAATCAACTCTGGCATATTAGAATAAATATAAAACTGGCCCACTATGTAAATATATGCCAAATTTTCATTTTAATTAGAAAATATAATTACAAAAAATTAAATCAAAGTGAACTGGAAATTTTATATACAGAAAAATATATGCTTCCCCTTCCACATTAAAAAATATTTAATATTTCTTTTAACTAACTGATAATCCATGAACAATCACTGCTTTTTTATGTCAGAAAATATTTGTTTACTCTCATACAAATAAACCTACTTATGCATTAAAAATTTTTTAATCGTTTTATAGGTATTATTACTAACTTTATATGTTTAAACTCATTATGATACAGCATTATAAGATATCTTTAATCCTCACAGTTATGGAATAAAGTTAGGAATCTCTATTGACTATAACGGCTATTAATTAATAAATCCAGGATTGTTATAAAAATTAATACAGTGATTCAGAATAAGACTTTATTTAATAATGAGAAACAAAAAAGAACATGCACATATCAATACTTATGACAGCACAAAGCTGGCCAAAACAGAAGTTCACAAAAATAATCTACTCATGGACTTTTCCTTAAAAATAATTGTACAGTCTTTACCTTTCAGCTAGTATTTAAGTAGCCTGAGTCATACCAATGCTCCAGTCCAGAAAAACTAGAAAGGCTTAATGAAATACATGGCAACATCAGTCTAAGGCATAAATTAAAAGGCTGCTGGGGCAACCTGAACTACAAGAACCAAGATTCCAAGGTAGCAGAGAAAGGATAGAGAGGTAAGCTTGAGTTCTACAGCCATTCTTCCTAGAGATTTTCACCAGTTCTGGGTACAGTACAAGGAACTGAACACTCAAGATCTGCTTGGGAAGATGGCCACTGCTGGAGTTATGAAAAGCAGCAAACCTTTTGGTACTTGTGGGGATAGGATGACAAACTGGAGACCTGAGGGGCTAAGATCCTAGTGCAAGAGTGAGGCAGCCACTTTTCTCCACAAAACAACTGCCAATTTTCAAAGCTATATGAGCTATATATTGATTACATTATTGATTATGAGGCTAAAAAGTTAAAAACAGAAAGCCTCAAAAATGCAAACAAACCAGCTACGTCAATATGCTGAGAAAATAAGAATTAATGTTCAGGAGCCATCAGCAAATAAGGTTCTGGTGAATACCACAAACTTTCAATTGGAACTCTGGGCCCCAGGGCACACAAAAAGTTATTTACCAAAATGTCAATCTAGCTTTGACTCAGTTCAACGCTGGATTGGAATAAGGTATGTAACTCCAATCTATCTGTCCAGTAAAATAATGGGTGACTCCTGGAGAAAGAAAACTTCTCCCTGGAATTTTCACTTACAATATTGACAATTAAATAAAAAATGACTAGGTATGCCACAAGACAGGACAATGACCAGAAATCAAAGAGAAAAAAACAAACAAACATAAAAGTAGGCCCATGGGTGACCTAGATATGGCAATTACCAGAAAAGAATTTTAATATAACTATGACTAATATATCTATGTTCAAAAAAAAAAAAAACAAAGGAAAAGATGGAGAAAATAGATGAAAAGATAGAAACTTTCAACAAGAATTTATAACCTGTAACAGAGATTCAAAAAGTTTAGAACTGAAATTAAGAACTCAATAGATGGCTTAACAGAAGATGAACAAAGAAGACGACAGGATTGGTAAAACGGAGAACATGTCAAAATATATCCAAAGGGAATCTTAGAGAAAAAATGGATTAAAAATAAATAAAAGAATGTATGAGATATGTGGAACAAAACACAAAGGCCTGACATACTTTTAATTACAGTCTCAGAAAGATAAGGAGAATGGGAGGCAGAAACAACATTTAAGAAGTAACAACTCAGAATTTATTAAAACAAAAGGCATCAACTCACACATTCAAGAAGCTCTACAAGCCCAAGCATGAAAAATATGAAGAAAATCACAAGGTACATCATATTATAAAGAAAAAATGACTCACAGCGTAAGAAGTGCTGGGCCTACTGAAGATTTTAAGACTTGATAGAACACACTAGGAAGAGACTGCAAACTCAAGTGCTTATGAAAGTTTCCACCTCCATGGCTAAGAACTGTATCTTCACATGGAAAGAGGCCAATTTGTGTATAAGGGGATAGGATGACACATATCAAACATTATGCCATAAGCTTAATGTCAGATCTCTTATTTCATACTGACTCTAAAAAACACTATTGAGAGTTAAATATATTTATTTCATTTTAAAATTTTTCAGTAAACACTAATCAGAAATTTTAAGTAATTTCATTAAGACACACACAATGACAAAATTCAAATTCAGTTATAAATGCTCTCAAGTCAATGCTCTGAATAACACACTACCCAATCTTCTATGAAAGTAATGCTACAAATCACAACAGAAGCCTCCCTCACAATTTTTACGACTACAAATAATATGAACTATGGGATAAACAGAAAACGTTTTAAAATGTATTTATTTAGCAGATGCATTAGTTTTCTATTGCTGTTATTGTTATACTAATATTTATTGACTTAAAACAACAAATATATATTATTTCATATAGTGTCTGTGGATAAGCAACACAGAAGTGGCTTAGCTGAGTGATTCAGACTCCAGGTCTCTCATGGGACTGCAGGCAAGATGTCAGCTGAGGTATGAACCATCTGAAGGCCTGACTGCAGGTAGAGTATCTACTTCCATGATGGCTCACGCAAATGGTCAGCAAGCTGGTACTGGTTGTTAGCAGGAGGGTTTATATTTATATTTCATTGCCTCATCATGGACCTCTCCCTAGTGCCCCATGAGTGTCCTCAGGTCATAGAAGTGACTTCTCCCAGAGTAAGTGATCCAAGAAAGAGCAAATTGGAAGCCTCAATGTTATATATGACCTGGCTTCAGAGGTCATACACTGACACTTTAGCAATATTTTTTGATCATACAGGTCAGCCATGATTCAGAGTGAAAAGGGAGGATACAGGACAGGAATAATAGGAAGCAAGGGTCATTGGAGGCCATTGTGTAGTCTAGCTACAAGAGTAGTAATTACATTTTAAGAACAATAAACCTGGTTAAAAATAAATCAGTATGCCATACATATGATGAGCTGTCTTCTCCAAGCATATATAAGCTATTAGATGTTTATTTAGAAACAGAGTGTTAAAATCAAAGAAAACATTAACTACTATTAATTTTCCAAGAATATCTTTAAGAACCACTAGCAACAAATGTGCATGTAATGAGCAGTTATGTAAAAGACCTATACTATTTTTAATTATATTTTATTGATTATGCTATTACAGTTGTCCCAATTGTTCTCCCTTTCCCCCCTCCACCCAGCATCCCTGACTCCATCAGGCAATCTCCACACCATTGTTCATGTCCATGGGTCATGTGTAGGTTCTTTGGCTACTTCATTTCCTACACTGTACTTTACCTCTCCATGGCTATTTTGTAACTACCTATTTGTACTTCTTAATCCTTAATCTCTTCACCAATTCTCCCACCTCTCCTCCATCTGGCAACCATCAAAATGCTCTCTGAATCTATGATTCTGTCTTTGTTCTTCTGGTTTACTTAGTTTGCTTTTTAGATTCAATTGTTGATAGATATGTATTTATTGCCATTTTATTCTTCACAGTTTTGATCTTCTTTTTCTCAAACACGTCCCTTTAACATTTCATATAATAATGGTCTGGTGATGATGAACTCCTTTAGTTTTATCTTTTCTGGGAAGGTCTTTATCTGCCCTTTTATTCTAAATGATATCTTTGCTGGGTAGAGAAATGTTGACCACAGGTCTCCATTTTTCATGACTTTGAATAGTTCTTACCAATCCCTTCTAGCCTGCAAAGTTTCTTTTGAGAAATCAGCTGACAGTCTTACGGGAATTTTGCTTCAGGTAACTAACTGCTTTTCTCTCACTGCTTTTAAGATTCTCTCTTTATTTTTAAGCTTTACCATTTTAATTATGATGTGTCTTGGAGTAGGCTTCTTTGCCTCCATCTTGTTTGGGATTCTCTGTGCTTCCTGGACTTGCATGTCTATTTCCTTCACCAAATTAGGGAAGTTTCTTTCATTACATTTTTCAAACAGATTTCCAATTTCTTACTCTTACTCTTCTCCTTCTGGCACTCCTACAAAGCAAATGTTGGAACACTTGAAGTTGTCCTAGAGGTAGCTGACACCATCCTCATTTTTGGGGATTCTTCTTTTTTCTTATTGTTCTGATTGGTTGTTTTTTGCTTCTTCATATTTCAAGTCATTGATTTGATTCTTGGTTTCATGCACTCTACTGCTGTTTCTCTGTAAATAGTTCTCTGTTTCAATTAGTGTACCCTTTGTATCTGAATGGACCATTTTTATGCTGTTGAGGTGTTCAATGAGTTCCTTGATCATCCTTATAACCAGTGTTTTGACCTCTGCATCTGATAGATCGCTTATGTCCATTTTTAGTTCTTTTTCTGGAGTTTTTATGTGTTCTTTCACTTGGGCCATGTTTCTTTGTCTCCTCATTTCGGTAGCCTCCCTGGTTGTTTCTATGTATTAGGTGGAGCTACTATGACTCCCTGTCTTGGTGGCATGAGCTAATGTAGTAGGTATCCTATAGGGTCCAGTGGCACAACTTCCCCTATCACCCAACCTGGGTATTGAGATATGCACTCCATGTTGGCTGAATACACCTTCCTCTTGTAAGCTGAGACTTGATTGCTGTTGGCAGGTCAATTCAAGGAATTTACCCAGGCCAGTCAGCTG